CTGTGGCTAATCAACAACAGCAGTTTTCTCACTCGCAGAAGGATTTGTTCCCAAGTTTTCAGAATTCCTGTCTCAATGGAAAAATGCAGCGACTGTTTTGTCGTCATTTTCCCCTTCTTTTTTTTTTTTTTTTTGTTTGTGTAGCTTTAGGTTGTAAAACCTCATAATTCCTGTTAAGTAGACACAGCTCTGTTTATGTGTTTGCTCATGTTTATTTGACAGATCAACATCTTGAACCTGCTCCTTCTCCCCCCTCAATTTCTCCCCCCCACCCCCAATCAGAAGGGTGTGAAAAAGCAGACGGTCTGGGCTGGGTTTTTGTAGTTGGAAAAAAAAAATCATTAGTAAAATATATTGGTGTGAGTGTAATAATTCTTAATGAGGCTGTTGATAATAACACCATTTTTTTTAACAAATATGCATAAAATAGTCTGTCAAAAAACTGCAACTCCATTTAGGCAATGTGTTTAAAGCTAAAATTTTTTTTGTCAAGGTCCGATTACTAATCTGTATGCCAGTCCTTGTTTATACCATATATGACATTAGATATAATTGAAACTTATAAGTCACAAATTTGTGTTCAGTGTAAAATGAATTGACTGAGTAGTGGTGTGAGTTTCTCTATTTAAAAAAATAGATGTTTAATTATTTTATGCAAAGTTGAATTTATTAGATGAGTAATCAGTTGATAGTTTGAGTGTGTGAGCTGTCCATCACAATATTCTTAATAAACTGGACTAACAACAAAATAAAGGAAGACATTTTTAAGCATAGATGTGGAAATATTTAGGCACCTCGCAATTTAATTTGATTTTGGGCTGCTACTGAATGCGAATGCAAACCACTCGCGATAAAAATAGCAAAGGATTGTGTAATTTGCGTCACCTTTTCCAAATTAAGTGTAAACTTTGACATTACTCGCTCAATGGTCCTCTGGCAGTGGCAGCAACCACCAGCTGTTTTTCAGTTTTTCCTCGGAACGAGTAGAATTGTGCACACTAAGTACATATATTGTGGCTCTTGTATGCATCATTTTTACCTTTAATGTTGTAGAAGCCAAATACTTCTATACGCTGGCCTTCAATGCCGATGTTTATATGTCTCAATCTACCATTTTGTTCTTGGTATGAACACTATAATCTGCTGCAGTTCTGCTCTTCTATTTTAAAATTATGACGTAAACTATAATCAGTTTTTGACATTTTTAGATTGGTTCAGAATTGCTCATGTACACATTGCAGTGCATCAAAAAAATAGAATATAACACCCACTCCTGTTCACAGTGTTGTTCAGGATTTATGGAAACCTTGGAATGATTTTTGTTTGATTTTTCTGTTCACTAAGAAGAGAAAAGATAGTTGGCTGGGTTTAAAAAGGTCCAACATATTAAAGCTCGTTTTATCCAATAATAAAGTAAAAATTACTGCACTTTTTTGTCACAGAATCGAGGGAAGTGAAATAAGACCTTGGCCACATCAACTTGAACGTTTGTACATATCACTTGCAAACTGTGTTTTTTATTTATTGGTGCGCTACTGTCGCACCAAAACTTTGTTCAAAAAGTGTTTTTTTAAAGAAAATTGCAAACAGTATTAATAGAAAATAAGTTGAAGGTTCTATATTGTCATAAGCATCACGTGGTACATTAGGTGGAACGAAATCGTGTACTCAAGGTCTCAGTTACACACAAAAATATCAAAAATATAATATAAAGTATAAAAAGAAACTGTATACAAGGATCTGAGAAACACGCGCTAAACAATAATAATGTAAAATAATACGGTGTATTAAACAGCAGCCTGAACATGAGTCTGTTGTGAGCAGATGGGTATGGGTACAGCAACTTAAAGGCACAAAATCAGCAGCACGGATAATCAGCAGCACAAATAAAGTGACATATCACCATTTAAAGTGGCATTACTGTGATTTTCCTGGTTAGGGATTTATGAGTCTTAACAGCTTCAGGTTAGAAGCTGTTCCTCAGTCACTTAATGCTCTGCAACCTCCTGCCTGAGGGAGCAGGGCAAAAAGTGTGTGTGCTGGGTGAGTGGGGTCCTTCATGATGCAGTTGGCCTCTTCCTGCATCTGGAGGTGTAGCTGTCTGTGATGGTGGGGAGGCTGACTCGAACGGTCTTCTGTGCAGCCTTCACCACTCTCTGCAAAGCTTTTCTTTCTGCAGCTGTGCAGCCTCCATGCCACATGCTGATGCTGGAATCACAGGATGCTCTCCACTGCACACCTGTAGAAGGAGGTGAGGACTGAGCTTCCCAGTCCAGCTTGCCACAGCCGCCTGAGGAAGTAGAGTTAAAGAGGAAGTTACTTAAATTTTAGAAGAATCACTAGTAATGTTCTTCTCTTTTCATTCTAATATTTTGTCCATGTTGCTGTTATTGTCACCAGTTGGTCAGGCATGATTGTTTCAGTGTTTGTAGAAAATTCTGCGTTTATTTTATAAGTTCTACCCCGATGCATGCTCAATAATCCAGGTAGATAAATCTAACGAGGTCAAGTCAGGTCCTTTGGACGGATTCTTCTTTGTTGAAACACTTTGTTTTTTACTGGATAAAAGGCGAAACGTTTCAACAAAGAAGAATCCGTCCAGAGGACCGGACTTAACTTCTTTAGATTTCTAAACAGTGTAGTTGTGGCTAAAATCTGAAGGTATTGAGCTCCAGGTTAGGTGTTGGTGTGGTGTGTTCAAGGTTTTTGGTTGCCTCTGGAATGTGTCTGCAGTAGGTGTGGACAGACTGCAGGAAATGGTTGCCGTGTAGAGAAACCAGGCAATTTAAGGCTTTGAGTGTGATGGCAAAGATTTAAATGGAAACACTTGCCTACCTGCTGCCACAACACAAACATTAATTTTCCTGTTTGTAGCTGCCACAAAGTGTTGCTGTCTGTGTTGAAGTGTGTGTGTACATAACTACCCCAAAGAGACAATCTGAATAAATCTGCTTGTTGTTGTCTGTCTGTGTCAGAGCAGGTGCACATGCAGGTAGCTCTAGGGCTCTCTGAGCACTAAAGTTACACCATTATCTTCACAACTAAACACACAATTCTGCTGCTTCCTGTTCACTTAGTACAAACTAGCAGCTTCTGAAATGTTTCGGCCTGGAAGGTAATTGTTGAAATCTAACATGGCCATGTGAAGCAGGATTGAGAAAACATTTTGCATTTAAACTAACTTCAACCCTTAAGAGACATATTTTCTTTTTTTTTTATCCAAGAAACTGATGCAAAGGACAATCGTCCTTTTTTGTCAGTAATACAGCGAAAATATCTGGTTTACTACCTGAATAAACAAAACAAACACACACAAAAAAAAATTGAAACTTCTTATGTGATTCAGAAAACTTTTGATTCTCTAAGTTTAAGATTATCTTACAGAATTTTTTGAGGCAAAGTCAAACACAGGTATGTTCACAGAAACGAGTCTGGACTTTGCAGCTTGTTCTCGCATACAAGGAGAGTTTTTCAGCTTCAGATGGGAATTGCTTATTGGATATACTCCAGTATGGGCCCTGAGTCCAGCACGCCATACAGAGGTCGTAATTCAAGAAGTATTCAGCAGGAAACCCAGCAGTATTGAGAGAGAGATATGCACAAAATATCAGTCTTTTTTAAAAGGCTGCTTTCTTTTAATGGATTATACAAAATCAGTGACATAAAATAGTGATAAGCTTTCAGTTGTGACTCAAGCACATCTGTAACATGTCAGTGGCGATATGTTAACAATGTACTAGTATCTGGTCTTAGCTCTCTTTCTTTACAACCATGCATTGTGTATAGCCAGTTTTTTTAAAAACTCTCAGCCTAAACTTATGTGCAGTAGTCCCTCGTTTATCGTTGGGGATCCGTACCCTGTGTGTGTGTG